GCTTCACAGGAATCTTAGACAAGCACGCTTGATTCCTCTGGCAACAGCACGCAACGTAGCTCCGACCTCTCAAACTCCTTGAAGGATCGGTCACCAGTGATGTAGAACACAAAGGCGGGAGGGGACTTGTCAAGGATGTATGTCACTGCTCCAAGAGGGAGGCAGAGCATGGAGACGTGTACCGCAGCGAGTGCTGCCACTAGCCAAGCGAAAAGAAAGCCGTAGCTTGGGTAAAGCGTCCAGGCCTTCCCGAGTACTGGGAGTGCCATGGCGAAGACCGAGTCGGAGATACCTTCCCTGCCAAAGAAACAGAAGAATATTAGAGAGCTTTGATTGATCAAAACTGTCACACCTGTAATCGAATGTCTGGAGATATGGATCTACAACCGCTGAAATGCCTCCCGTGGAGCATCGAAACCAACTGAAGCCATTCTCCACAACACAGAAAGCATCGGCCTCTTTCGCCCGGGGACCGCTTGCTCCCCAAGTCGCGGCTGGTTGGAGCATGATATCAATCCTAGCACATTCACCAGAAACTTAGAGAACACCGTCATAACTTCGCTCTACCTCTTTTTCCCGGCCTGCCGCATCAGGTCTGGAAACTCGAAATCGTAACAAATAGCTCCTCCAATCCGCCCGAGCTCGGTCTTGATGGCAGGAAGAATGGGAACCCCTGGAGTTCCATACCACTCCATGAATGGAACCAAGTGGGATTTCCTGTAGCTAAATCCAATGGAGCCATCGGGAAGAACGAGGTCGAAATAGTTCCCGACGCTCGCGTCCTTGTACTCGTAAGTGATGCCAACGTAGGCACCGTGCTGGGAAGCGATCTGTCCGGCTTTGAATTGGAGAGAATCCCTCTCCTGTTTGAGGTCGAGTTTCACCGCAGCCTCGGACCAGAGCACCAGTCGATCGCCGGCTCGGAGGCGCCGGCTCGTCCTGTTGAGCATCAAATCCATGTCCTCGTAGAAGAGGACCTTGCCCAGGACGCAAGAGACCGGCACTGTTTTCTTCATCGTGAGGGCGATGTCCTTCTGGAAGAAATCCCCCGAGAAAATGGAGACCCTGGCGCTGCCGTAGAACAAGATCGAGAGAGCAATGGCTCCAAACGCCAGGGAGTGGCCGCGATGCATCTGCGTAGCACGCTTCTTGTCGGATTTTTCCATCTTGGAAAGATTCTCGTTGAGAACGGCCCTGTCGTGGAGAATCGCCGAGAACCACGCCATGAGGAATGCGATCCCATCGATCCCCCACATGCCGGCGCTCATCACCAACGGCAAGATTGTAACCTGGGAAACGGCGGGATGGAGGAAGGAGCCGACGCCGCCGAATCGATTCCACAACAACCATGCCGTGGTCCAGATCGACGAGAATACCAGCGGCTGGACGTTCTTGCTCGGTCAAAACGCTTCCTGTAGCCGATGCTTGCAAGAAATGGGAGGAGAAGAAACCACAGCGCCAGTGCCCAGATTATTCCCACAATTGGCACACTGCTGGCCGTGGAGTTGTCCGGGCTCACCTTTCCCGGGAAGAATGCCAAGAATGCCAGGCTCGCGGCAGTGGTGTGGAGGATGAGCGTCAGGAGAATTGTGAGCTCCGCAGAGCTCCATGAGCAAGAATTGTGCTAAATCCCTGATTTGTGGAAGAAATGCAGGAGGAAAAATGGTTGGAGCCAAGAACAAATTGCAACAGATTGGAAACCAAAGAAGAAAGTGCACGCCACCGAGAAAATGGCCAACAGTGCCACCTTCTTCATATCTTGTGGTAATTTATATTCTTATTATTATAAGGTGAAAGGAAAATACTATAAATATTTAGGGAATATACCTTAATCTAGCCGTTTTAATTTTTTCACTCATAAAATTCGTTTGTAATCAGTGTTTAATACTATATCTTAAATATAGACCAAACGTCTAAAGTTAACTGAAATCTTTGGGAGGAAAAAAATGTACTATTTGACTTTCTTATAATACAAGACTCCTATCCCCTTGCCCATATTTACATCTTCTTTCCCACTTGTATTTTTTGGATTATAAAATATAAAATAATTATATTTGTTTAAGCTGTCACTTAGAAGTCATTAATGTTTTGATATGGATATAAGATAACTCACCATCATTTAAAGAATTCTTTTGATTCTTGGATTGTAAATTTTTGAATTTTCACTTTGTTCCCACAAAGTTGCAAAAGCTATTGGAAGCAATCCAAAAAATATTACGTTCAAACAAAGCTATTGTTCTTAGAACAATCTAACCACACTAGTTGCATAAATTTTTTAACTTATTTGTAAATTATGAGTAATCAAAGAGAATGACTTGCATAAAAGTTCAAATATAAAGGGAAAGAACCATTTTTCAATTAGTTAAGAATTTTAAGATATTTAGGGTTAAGTGACTTCCCGGAAATCTAAACTCTATTGATTAACTAAAGGAACTATACTATATATTTGATTAATATTTAGCAAAAGAATCAGGCTCTCAGAAGAATGTTACTTAAGAGATGATCAAATATAGAGGGAAAGGGCCCATGAATAAAAATGTATATTTTTTTCCAATTGGTTAAAGATGAAATATAGAAAGAAAGAGTATATGAATAAAATATTATATTCCAATAATTAAGGGTATTGGGATATTGGGTCTTGGGATAACCACCTTTACCACTAACTTTGATATTTTAAGATATTCTACCATTTAATAATTAGATTAGTTTTGTATTTAAACACTTTTTTAGTATATTCTAGTTTATTCTACTTTTAAGTTGGGTTGATCAATTAGGTTAAAAAATAATACTAAACATAAGTATATGGTTATAATGCCTTATACTAATATTAGTATAGTGAGATTTTAGTAGTTGTTAGATTGGTTTCAATTCAAACCACTCACTTTTGTATATCAATTAGGATTTTTGGGCTAATTGATATGCACATTTTTTGTATTCCCTTTCCATATTCCATGCACTTGCATTGCACTCACATTAGTGGAAATGAGGGGCATCTTTGATTGTCTTTGAAGAGTGTTTGGATTTGGGATTTTGGTTTAAATTTAACTTTTGCATCATTTAGATCTAGCTTTTCTGTTTTCTTTCTTTTATTCTTTCCTTTTGTTTAGATTTAACTTTTGCATTGTCTAAATCTCCCTTTCCTTCTTTTCATTTCTTTGCTTTTACTTTTTCTCCTTTTCATTCATCTTCATGGTAGAGTAGCAATCTCCTCCTCTTTTAACTTTGGAGTAGCACTTGGTGCAATTGTTTGATGCTATGCAATTGTAGTTGAATAACCAATTGATGGCATTCATAGCATGTGGTATAACTCTTTCTACTCTTAGTGCTAATCCTCGCATTTGGCTGAATTTCTTTCGTAGGAATCCTAAGGATGATGTGTATTATTGGTTCGATTATTTCCACATATCATTTTTAGGATGATGTTTAATGTTTATGTGAATTTTGCATATGTCTCCAAAGGATGGCACTATAGTGGTACAATGGTTTAGGCACAACTACTCATGGGGATTGGAGTATTCTCTCAGATGTCTTCAAATGCACATTCGGACATGCCAACAATTGTGATGACACCTTCTAACAATTGTATCATCTTCGTCAAGGGCTATCTGAGTTGGTGATGCAACTTGGCGTTTGTTTCCAAAGCTTCTTGCTTCGTGCAGAGCCAAATATGTCAGAGCAGATCAAACTAGGAATGTTGTGGCTAGCACTTCGTTAAGATCTTGTAAGACTTGTGCATGCACTTGATTTAGCCACCCTTGACGATGCCCTTCACTTGGTACAACGTTATGAGATGTTGCTTCTTCCATTTCTCATTACACGTCCTTTAGCTCTACTTCTTGTGGGAGCTAGTCCTATTCTAATAGAAGTTGATGGTGTTGCTACTTGAGTTTAAGGACAAGAGTGAGGATGTAGTTGTGGCCGTGATGTTCATTATTGGGCATGTGATGACATTAATCACACTTATCGGCATTGTTGGCGTTTTTCAGATTGGTGACTTCCATTTTCTAGGTGGAGACCTTGGCATCAACAACGTCTTATTGGTGCTATTGCAGTGAAAGGTCTAAACACCGAGATGCATCTGGGAAATAAAGAGTCACACGAGTAATGGAGGGACTTTGCATGAATAAGTTGGTGACCCTTCCATTTTTCTTTCAAGAGTATTATTAAGGGGTTCACTTGGCACTAATTCATCGAGTGTTTACTTTCCAAGTTTGTAATTATAACAAAAGGGTTTTCTATTATTCTCTCCGTATTGGTTGATACAAAATTCAAGTTTATCTTCTATTGCTCAACTTGTTGCCACACATTGCCCTCTACATTTACATCGTGTGGCAGAGCCAATTTTCATTCTTTATAGCAACGGTTGTACGCATGCATGTGCATGGGATGAGGCAGACCTAATTGTGCTTATAAGTGATCTTGAGCTTGGGTTGCAGGCATTGTGGGTGGTGCCAAGTTAAGCTTTTGACGTTATCCTTAGTATAGATTGGTTGTAGTGCAATCATGCCAAGTGTGACTTTGAGGCTTCTCTCCCTTCTTTTATACTTCTTTATATTTCATTTATTCCTCTCACTTCTGTACCTCTTTGTCCCTTTGCTTCCATTACTTTTGTCTCACCATTACTTCCTTCTTTGTTTCTATCTTATTCTACTCTTCCTTTTTTGGATTCCTTTGACGGTCTTTGTATTGTAGCAGTTGACCAGTTAATGAAGGAGCATGTTAATCTCTTTGAATTTAACCTATCATCTAGGGCCAAAATTACCACACATCATTTGATTCCAATTGGGGATGCTTGTCTAATCAAGGTTTATGTTCATCGTTAGTCACCCAAAGAGATCAAGATTTTATGTGCAAACTTCAAGGAGATGTTAGAAAAAGGTGTTATTCAAAA